AAGTATCCTGATGTGTTTATATTGTATCGTATTTTATCTTTCAGGCAGGAGTGGAACACAAAATTGATCTTCGTATTCAATCAGCTAATAAATCTCTAGGTAACCGCTCGCCCGTACCCAATCCATTCTCTTGCTTTTTGAGCTACGCACAAAGGGCGACATATTTAAGAGCAGCTGGAAAAAAGATTAACGATTTGGTACATCTATGCCGACTTCACGAATCTACAAATAGTGCCAACCTATTAAGTTTTCACTAGCGACGCAAGAGCAAGCACAGAAGCACGCAAGGCAAAAATTTGCCCTTGCGTTGCGTCTCGTTTTCTCTACCGAAAAAATTGATATCTTGCACTTGCTGCTGCCATTGCTGTATCGCTGTGTTGGGTGTCTTTCACTATGAAACAACGCCGCTGCGCTTGTTCTGCGCTGGTCTAGAGTCGTTAGAGAAATTCCGAAAATCCCATGCAAAAGAGCATGCGTACATTTAAAACAAGCCCATAAAGATCGGGCGCGAATATTTTTCTTATTGCTTATCAAAGTCCCACATAAGATTAAGCATATTTTGCTAAAAACTTCAAGAGAAAATATTATTTTTAAGAGAAAATCGAAGTTAAAGTCGTATGTAAATCAGGACAAATCTCTTGCCTATGTAAAGATGTGGTCACGGCAATGATTTTCCATTATATTTCATGTGATAAGAGAGCATTATTGGGTATATATTATTTTTTCAGATGAACTGATTGCCAATGGAGAAGAAGGAACGTTTGACTTTGCTTTTGTCGATGCCGACAAAATAAGCTATGATGCATACTATGAGAAGTGCTTAGTGTTGGTACGAAAAGGAGGCATGATTGCTGTTGACAATGTAAGCATTTTAAATCTGCTGTAAATTCAGCCCACTCTGTGTGTATCTTCAACAACAGTCGGAAGGTTTTGAAACTTTGATTTAACTCGCAAGAGATAAGAGGAAACGACAGTCAGCTGTAAGTCATGATCACAACTGATTTGCCAGCAAGAAAATCCGAAAAAAAGAACTCTCCAGACATTGCCAAGGAATACTTTCTACGAATTTTTGTTAGGAAAATAAAAATGTCCTACCTAAAATATATATTATACCGTTTTTGACCATAAAAACGTTATATAAGCCTTCATTGACCTTGAGTCAGAAACAAAATTATTTTAAAGAAGGAAGGGCGTCACATTTGCTTGTGAGATTGTCAACAATGTAGCCTGCGTAGCTGCCCTAAGGGGATTGGGGAGGGCCGGCCGAGCGGCGAGTGGCCGCTACGCAGGCTATCAACAATGTTGCTCAAAATCCCTTTCCCAGAGAAAAATTCGTACAAGAACACCCCTGAAGAACATTCGTACAAAAACACCCCTGAAGAACATTCGTACAAGAACAGTCCTGAAGAGAGGGTTCATCATGAACTATTATACTACTAATATGATCGCTTTAAACTTGTGATTCATAAACCTTTCTCGCCTACTCTCTCGACAATATCATCGTGCATGTGTCTAACTGACAGAGAATGATAGCACATAAATTATTTTCTATTGCTCAAGCACAACAG